ATCGGAATAAACCGGCTACCTAAATACGTAACCAGAGAGCATCTTAATTTTCAGTATAACAAGTCTGGGCTAAAAATGATCCCTTGTAAGATTTTTATTTGCTTTCCCGTAGGTTCTTGCCTCCCCATTCACTGTAATTTGTCTTCGACCTCTGCGAGAAAATATTGCCGCGGATTACGGAGCATTACATGCTAACTACAGTGTTAGTAGGGGTCTTTGAGTGCAGTTAAAATGCAATATTATACGGATGTAGTCCATAAGGAAACTTAAAGCAAGCCAGTTCATAAAAAGGAGCACAGGTCTAAATATTTTATAAAACATAGTAAATGACGTACCTTGACCCCATAGATGTCATAGAAATCACTAATGGCTCGGCACATAACAGCAGTGACGGGCAGCGTAGCATTCACGGTCGACTCTTTGCCAGTAGATGTTTTTATGAAGTCTGCGCCGGCCAGCATGCAAGCCATTGAAGCAGCGTACACGTTGGAGTACGAGCCGAGTTCACCAACAGCCAAGATAGTCTTGAGGTGGGCCCTGTCACCACATGCCTGCCTCATGCAACATACTTCATCAAACAATTCTAAAAACATGAAAAACGACACAGTCAGAGCCAGCTTGGAAAATGGGGCAACAAAAAGTAATAACGAAAATCATACCCTTCCATCTTCCCTCAAGCGCGAGAGTACGATTGATGACGATGTCAATTTCGGTGGCACCACTAGTTATAGCATAATCAATTTCTTCTAATCTTGATTTTAGCGAGTACTGGCCCGATGGAAACCCGGTGGCGACTGAGCAAAATGTAAGAAGAAAGTTGATAGATACCTGCCGCGATTGGGATGTCGGGGGCCCCTATTTGACGTAAATAATTGGCTGATGTCTCAACCTGATACGGATATACACAGACAGCAGCAGTTCCTATCAAGTCAGGTAGCTTTCATGTCACTTACTAACTTCTTCTGGTTTGATGGCATACTTCTCATTTAGCTTGTCAAGTATTGACGTGCTTAGGGGCCGCTTTGCCTTCGCACATAACCTTGCCACATTCGCTGATGTATCGTCTCCAGCAAGCGTTGTAAGATCGATGGAAGCAACAGCCCTAAGAAGCCATTGGATC